AAAAGAAAAAATAAGTTTGAGTTGTTTGGGTTGCTAGGAGAAATCTAAAACTTACACTGTACTTAGTTTTTGTTAAATAAATAATACTTTTATTGTCACATCACATGTGCAGGTACACTGGTACAGCACATGCGAGTGAAATTCTTGTGTCCAAGCTTCACAAGCAACAGGGGTGAGCAAAATACAATACAATAACATAAGAACAAGCAAAATATAAGAATGGGAGAAAAAATAAAGGAAAAGGAAAATTAAACACTAAAACCAGCTGTTGCTTGGGGGAGCTTGTGATGAGGCTGCCATACTCGGCGCCATCTTGGTGCCACTGTGTGTCATGTGTGTATAAACTCTTGGAAGTGAAAAGAAGCTGTGTGATAAACTACCAGTATATGATGAGTTCACCATTTTACAGTGGTGTCCAAATCTGCACTATGATTATGTCCTGTATAGCAGAGAATCCTTGTATCCCAGAAAAAGGAGCATAAAACCAGTGGTCTATAGTATATTGTAAACTGTGCATAAAGCGAAATGACACAAACAAGGTGTCATACAACTTGCAAAATGAAAGCAAGGTGTATGACAGCAATGTATTGAAACATGAAGTTCCCCAAAGTATTTATTAACTACTTATTTATTAATTACACTCAGCATATTTGCAGGACATTGATTCTTTTAGCTGATTTTTGATGCGTTGTGTTTTATTGTGCAAATTTTTTTTCTAGGCACTGTTAGCTAAGTTAAATCTTGGCTGGCTATTAGCTCACTATGTTGTCCTTTACATAGAATTTGCCAACCATCAACTGGAGTGTCGTGGATGAGTATATAATTAATAGTATAGTTTATAATTAAGGACACTGTAATTTTCTTTTAATGACAAAGGATCCAAAACCACCCCAAAATTAGTTCTATGCGCCCACCCAGTTTTAATCCAAATCACTTGTTGTACAAAACATGACGGGGCTTTGAGAGTTCATCTGGCAAGGCTGTAAGCTGTTGAGGTACGTCACAATAGCAATATTTGGGAACCACTAATAAAGGAAACTAACAGACGAAACCTAAAAAGTAATTCAACAACATCAGATCTGAGCTACTGTTTTGAAACTTTACAGCATATAAGCACTTTTATCAAATGGAATCAAAACTTTCACATTCAACTGAAACAGCGGCTCTGCAAGACAATTATTTACGGTCTAATGTTATTATAGAAAACATAAATAAATAGAAAAAACAAGCTTCCCTTTACCCCCGTCTTTTACAAACAAGGAAAGAAATGTTGAAATCAGATTTTGGTGATTTGAACATTTCAAGCAAACAAGAATGTGCTTGGAAACCTGCAAGGGGCTGGCCTTGTAGTCTGTGTGGTGCTTATGCTTCCCAAAGGTTAAATGAAAAATGATTTTTTTAAACTAAGTCTTACTTTTAAAGTCTGCATCCTTAATGAAGGAATCCATGAGGAGATTGAAGGTGAAGTCATCTGGGAATATTCCATACTGGATCTGCACACAGAGATATCAAAATATTGGCATCATGGAAAAACATCAGTTTTTTTCTACATTATTTAATGACGAAGGTGTGTATCACATGCAGCAATAAGACTGCTTCTCAGTGCATTAGTGACAATGAAAGCTCTTGTGTCAGAGTTGTATGCCGCCAATGAAAACAACTACAGCGGTGATTGCCTTTGCCTCACTGTAAACGCGTCACTGGCTACCTGACATCTGTTTCTGGAGTAATTCAGGGATGCTCAGATACTATAGCGCATTCAGGAACTGAAAAAAAAGCGCTGGGCTGAAAATGCCAACCATGTTTAACATTATTTGTGCTGGTCAGATCGGTTTGAAAACATGCCTCAGTGCTTCACAATGAGTCTGTGCTGTCTCATGATGACAGCCTTGATCAGATTTCCTCTCCGATCATTGAGATAAGGTTCACATGCAAGGCCCAAACAGTGCTCTCAGCGTAGTTTATTTCCCAAAGAATAAACTGAGTGAATATTATAGTGTACCTTGTTTTTAAGTGTGTGCAAGGCCTTATCTCTAGCCCCATATTTTAGACACTGTCTGATCCAGCCGTGAATGGTCCAGTCTCGCAGGTAC